TGGAGCTAACATATTTCAGGAAATTTCATTTCTCATCTTCACCACCGGAGGGAGTCCCTTACTTATCATTCACCCAGTCTTAAGGGGATTTCTGGATCTGGAAGTTGTCCATTATACTGATATCACCTGTTCCTGGATGGCTATCTACTGTCCCCGCATGATGGATTTCCAGTGGTCATACTACATATGCACTTTTTATAGCGCGTCCGGTGAGTGCGCAATTTTACTGTTGGGTCCTGGTTCTTTTTACTTCATGCAAGATCCTGCATTTTACTTGGACAATATTATTTATCTGATATATTAATTTTTGCCTATCATATTTGTGTTTTGGTTCACTTGAGACACATATTTATTAGCTCCGCACTTCTTATATTTTTGTGTATTTTGAGGGTTTTGCTGTGATTACCTTGAGTGCATTGGCTGCTGCTGAGAGAGCGCTCACTTTTTTATTTTTTCTTCTATAGTCACATGCTGCAGTGTACCAAACAGGAGATGGAAAAGTTTTTAAATGACAATGAGATGCTTTCCCACACATAATGCACTGAGCAAATGAACTGGCCAGTATTCATTCAGTCAGTGGCACTGTCAACACCCCTTTGTGCAACATCCTTCATTTGAAAAATTGGAAAGAGCTGGGAGAAAAAATTGTTGGCCCAACAATGCCCATATACAGTCAGTTGCAGGCACTGCTTGGTCATTCTGACCTGCCAGCACTGCCAGATCTTAGAATTCAATAATTGCAGGAGGAGATTTGTCAATCTGTGCCATTCAGTGTGGATAGAGGAATCTGTTCAATCTGTTTCCTTCAGCCCCCAGACTGAAGGAAATAATTTTTTTTGGGTGTATAGCTAGCTTAGGTCTCCTGTAACTGTAAATAAATTAGTGACTGACAATACCATTTTTGTGGAATGCACATCCCTATTTAAATTGGAGAAAAAGAAAGGGGGAAGAAATGAACTGGAATGCATAAAAAATGCACCAGAATGCAGAAAAAATGTGTATGCAGAACCGCATCCGGAACGCATCTGTACTGCATTTCTATAGTGTGAACTGGCCCTAAGGGCCAGTTCACACTACATGCATTTGGCCAATCATTGATCACATGAATAGTAGTAAGCAAGATGACACTTCTGACATCATTGCTTACTATATGTGAAATCTGTGAATGGTCATAGAGATCACATGGTACAAGGCTATTCACAACAGCCTTGTACCATATGACAATCTGTGACCAATCACAGCTCGCACAGTATTTCTCAATGGCTGCAAGAATGCAGCCAGAGAGAAATAAAAATTATTGCTTTTACAGCCTTTATGGGTATAAAAGCAATCAGTGTAAAAAAAAAAAAAAAAAAATCTTCATCACCCCCCAGAAATAGTACAGTGTCACTATGATGACACTGTACTGCTAGGGTGACAGTATGTTAAAAAAATAAAATAAATATTATTATGTAAAAAAAAATTAAAATGTAAAACAAAATGTAAAAATTATAAATTTTGGTTATAAACTAATTTGGGTTATTTTTTTTTTACTAAAAAGATAATTGAATACATTGTTGGCCAAGATTTATGAAGAAAGATTATTTATTTGCAAAATAAATATAAGAATATTCTTTATAAGAAAAACACATTTTTTATAAATTTTTGGACATTTTAATTTACAGGTGAAACTCAAAAATTTAGAATATCGTGCAAAAGTTCATTTATTTCAGTAATGCAACTTAAAAGGTGAAACTAATATATGAGATAGACTCATTACATGCAAAGCAAGATAGTTCAAGCCGTGATTTGTCATAATTGTGATAATTATGGCTTACAGCTCATGAAAACCCCAAATCCACAATCTCAGAAAATTAGAATATTGTGAAAAGGTGCAATATTCTCGGCTCAAAGTGTCCCACGCTAATCAGCTAATTAAGCCATAACACCTGCAAAGGGTTCCTGAGCCTTTAAATGGTCTCTCAGTCTGGTTCAGTAGGAATCACAATCATGGGAAAGACTGCTGACCTGACAGTTGTGCAGACAACCATCATTGACACCCTCCATAAGGAGGGAAAGCCTCAAAAGGTAATTGCAAAAGAAGTTGGATGTTCCCAAAGTTCTGTATCAAAGCACATTAATAGAAAGTTATGTGGAAGGGAAAAGTGTGGAAGAAAAAGGTGCACAAGCAGCAGGGATGACCGCAGCCTGGACAGGATTGTCAGGAAAAGGCCATTCAAAAGTGTTGGGGACTTTCACAAGGAGTGGACTGAGGCTGGAGTCAGTGCATCAAGTGCCACCACACACAGCCGGATCCTGGACATAGGCTTCAAATGTCGTATTCCTCTTGTCAAGCCGCTCCTGAACAACAAACGTCAGAAGCGTCTTACCTGGGCTAAAGAAAAACAGACCTGGTCTGTTGCTCAGTGGTCCAAAGTCCTCTTTTCTGATGAGAGCAACTTTTGCATCTCATTTGGAAACCAAGGACCCAAAGTATGGAGGAAGAATGGAGAGGCACACACTGCAAGATGCTTGAAGTCCAGTGTGAAGTTTCCACAGTCTGTGTTGATTTGGGGAGCCATGTCATCTGCTGGTGTTGGTCCACTGTGCTTCATTAAGTCCAGGGTCAACGCAGCCGTCTACCAGATTTTGGAGCACTTCATGCTTCCTTCCACAGATGAGCTTTATGGGGATGCGGACTTCATTTTCCAGCAGGACTTGGCACCTGCCCACACTGCCAAAAGCACCAAAACCTGGTTCAATGACCGTGGGATTACTGTGCTTGATTGGCCAGCAAACTCGCCTGACCTGAACCCCATAGAGAATTTATGGGGCATTGCCAAGAGAAAGATGAGAGACATGCGACCAAACAATGCAGAAGAGCTGAAGGCCGCTATTGAAGCATCCTGGTCTTCCATAACACCTGTCAGGGCTCCCGGGTGTGACCAGAGGTGTGTCACTGACGCAGGGAAACGCAGACTTCAGATATGTTATAAACAATGTAATTTATTAACACTAACCATACAAACATAAACGCAGTGCAATACTAAAACATAACACAGTGCAAACAAACCAAACCAACCACCCACAGATAACAGTACATACAATGCAAGCGTCGTCAGGCAGGCCGGGTCAATATCAGTCGGGCAGGTAGGTACAGGGGGAGCAAGCGGAGAATGGTCGGGGTCACAGGCCAGGTTCAGCAGGTAGCGGGCAGCGTGGTACAGAGGGTCAGGCAGAGGAGAATGATCAGACAAGCCAGGGATCAGAGCAGGGTCAGCAGAGAAGCAGACAGGAACAGAGAGCAGGAACAGGATACAGGGCCCAAGAGAAACACAACACCAAGGCAGAGTCTGCAGGTCTGAATGTCCCTTAAATACACCAGTATAATTAGTTCCAGGTGTTTGACTGGCTGCAAGGTTGAGTCTCTGATTGCTGGGAGCACCCGCTGGCCAGCCCTGGTACTGCAGCTCATAAGGCAGCTGAGTCCCACTATTGCTGGCCAGTCCATTCCTGACAACACCTCAGCAGTGCCACAGGCTGATAGCTTCCATGCCATGCCACATTGAGGCAGTAATTGCTGCAAAAGGGGCCCAAACCAAGTACTGAGTACATATGCATGCTTATACTTTTCAGAGGTCCGATATTGTTCTATGTACAATCCTTGTTTTATTGATTGCATGTAATATTCTACTTTTCTGAGATTGTGGATTTGGGGTTTTCATGAGCTGTAAGCCATAATCATCACAGTTATGACAAATCACGGCTTGAACTATCTTGCTTTGCATGTAATGAGTCTATTTCATATATTAGTTTCACCTTTTAAGTTACATTACTGAAATAAATTAACTTTTGCACGATATTCAAATTTTTCGAGTTTCACCTGTATTTAGCAAACCAAATTAAAATCCCAGTGGTGAATAAATACCACCAAAATAAAGTTTTATCTGTCTCAAAAACATGCTAAAAAATTCATATGGGTACAGTGTTGCACGACCGCACAATTGTCATTCAAAATGTGACAGCGCTGAAAGCTGAAAATTGTCCTGGACAGGGAGGGGGTAAAAGTGTTTGGACTGGAGGTCGTTAAGCTATGTAAAAACTTAAAAACCCATAGTCTGGACATAGATGATACATAGATACATAGAGAAGTGATGGCAGAAAAAAAGACCAATTGGTCCATTGAGTCTTCCCTTTTTTTTAACTTTATACGTTTTTTTTTTCTGAGTATAGATCTGTTTGTCCCAAGCATGGTTGAATCCACTTACTGGCTACCTGCTTGGAGCCTATTTCAAACATCAACTACTCTTTTGGTAAAATAATGCTTTCTAAGATTAGTTTCAAGCTTTCCTCCTGCTACTTTGAAGTCCCCATGTTCCTAATCTTGGTTTCATATTGAAAATACCGCCCTCTTGAACCTTATTCGCCAACTTGATGTATTTAAAGTGTTACTAAACCCACAACAGTAAAATCAGTCTGTATATGCAGTAAAGCATGCGTGTTATACTCACTGTGGAACCTAAGGGGTTAATCCTCCGCATTGTGTAAATAGGATGTTTGATCCTGTTTTCTCTAATCCTCCCCTTTTTCTACTGTCCTTACTCCATCTGCTGATAATACAGAGCTCTAGGAGTCACTCTGCGCATGCTCATTTTAGTGTGTATGGCTAAAGAGGTTTTTTTTAAATTGGGAGGGTGAATGTGATTGGCACAGGGCCAATCAGCACTTTCCAGACAGACAGTGAGGGGCTATGCAGTCTAGTAGGACAGTCAGAGCAGAAAGAAACTCCTCCTACAAGATTAACCAGTGCTCTGCTCTACACTTATAGAATCACAAGACTGCTATATATTGCTGATGAGAAAAGGTATTTAGCAGTTTATATTTACTAAAATAATTTCACTTCCAGGTTGTGGGTACTGTGGGAGACCAGATATAGTGAATGCAGTGTCCTGGGTTTAGTAACACTTTAACCACTTCCCGACCGGCTGTTGCATATAAACGGCCAAACGTTGGCAGTGCAGGGTCGGGTGGCCGTTTATAAACGGCCTCCCCGCACCCTGCTTGTGCGCGCTCCTTGACACAGTGAAACACCGATCGTCGGACGGGACCTCTGTACGAGGTCCCGATCTTGTGATCACTGATTGGCCAATCAGTGATCACATGCAAAGTAGTAAGCAAGATGTCACTTGTGACATCATTGCTTACTACGTGTGAAATCTAAGTTTGCATTACTACCATCACAATGCTTAATGATCACATAGGTCACATGGTACAAGGCTATTCACAACAGCCTTGTACCATGTGACAAGCTGTGACCAATCACAGCTCACTCAGTACTTCTCAATGAGTGCAAGAATGCAGACAGAGAGAAAGAGAAATGATTACTTTTACATCCTATATGGGTGTAAAAGCAATCAGTGTAAAAAAAAAAAAAATTTCATCATCCCCCCACAAGTAGTACAGTGTCACCATGGTGTCAGCTGGAGACAAGAAGGAAAAAAAAGGACGAGAGACAGGTGAAGGGTCAAGTTAGGATGAAAAAAAGGGACCTTTCCCTCAGTATTATGAAGGTTCTGATATGAGCCTTCCATCTTCTCCAGCCAGAAGAGGCTTACCTTCCTCCAAGAACGTGAAGGGCTTCCACTAGAACCAGGTTTTCTTATAAATTTCTTGTTTGTTTTGTGAGGAAAGAACTACATTCTCTATATTGTTGGTTTCCTCAACATTATGCAGCCAAACTGAGATTGAGGGGGAGAATAGGGTCTTTCCATTTTAAAGGGATGCAGGCTTTAGCCGCATTCAGAAGATGTTTCAGTATGGATCTTTTATGTGTCTTAGTAGGAACTGAGGAGCGATGTAACAAGAAGAATCCTGGACAATCAGTATAGCAGAGTGAGCATTTCTTCACCATGCTCATTTGCAAGCAGCCTCCTGAGTTTCTTGTGAAGTCCAGGGATAACTTTCTCTGCTTCCCTCCCTCAGCACCTCAGATGAGGCAGAGGAGCTGGGCAAGTGATCCGCAGGCAGGGTAGAGTCCCTCTAATGTCAGAACTGACATGTGGGCAGCCGCTTCAAAGCCTATTAGCCTATCATTCCAGCATCCTGGTTTTGGCTGAGCTGCACTCTCCCTGTCTGCCTGTCAACCTGCAGAGTAATTGCTAGACACAGCCTCTGGGTGGTGTTCAAACCTGTTTTAAGCCTGCCAATCTCTCAGTGTCATGCTTGTGATAGTGTTGGCAACATGTGCTTCAAGCTCCCTGTTTTCCTGCCTTTGCCTTGACATTCATCTTTGCCGGAGCCCTACCCTGCCAGCCAGCTTGGGTTTCCTTGTTATTGACCTTGGATTGGACTTTGACTACACTCAGTCTGCCTTGTGATCACAGATTTTACCTTGACTACTCCCTGAATACTCAGCAAAAAAAACAAACAAAAAATTCCCAGCTCATTTACCAGCCAGCCTGCAACAAACCGAATTTACACCTGAATCTATCCACAGCTATATGTGCTCCAATTTGAGAGACTCTCAAAATTATAGAGTTAGGACTGGAGTACACTGGCGTGCCTTGACGTGGAAACTGCAGCTTACACATACATTATATTTGCAAATATGTGTGAATAAACCCCTTGTTTTTAACATGAACTGTTAGGATCAATTCAGTTTTGTTGCAGACTGGCTGGTAAGTGAGCTGGGAATTTTTGTCTGTTTTTGATGTACGCTGCCCTTTCATGTTCTCCTTGCTGCAAAGGCTAGTTATAGGTTGGGGTGGTTGCCATTTGTTTGTACTCTCTGAATGCTGCCTGACCCGAACCAGGACTGCCAATGACCACTGTGCTTGTCTGCCAACCACATGTAACTATTTCCTATAGTTGGTTTGCACCTTCCCTGCATGGTAGTCAGGCATTATAGTATTATGTATAAGACTGGGGGGGGGGGCAACCAAGTACTGATAGACCTGCTTGTCTTATGGGAAAAGGGACTGCTATAGGAGAAGAATGTAGAAGCCAGCTATAGTGCCTGACCACCAACGCTAGAGGTAGGCATGACAGTGTGGTGGCACATAACTATTGGGCCTTGGTTCCAGCTGTTCATCTGTGTTACCAGAGCTTCCCTGCATTTCACTGTGAGGAATGCTGTCTATGAGGAATATCACAAGTAGCTGTGTTCTGTACTGCTTTACTGAAGTAGTGGTTCTCAGACTCTCTGGTGTTTTTAGAGTCTTACAGAGACAAGGCTATGCAGCCATGTTACTCTAATCAAGTCACAGGGACAATGCAGTGAAGAGTCCATGTTTGAGTAGCTTTCATTTGTTTGTGCAGCTTTCATTATTCTGCAGTGTACTGTATGCTTGTTTTTTTGCCATCCCAAACTAGTTTTGCATTATTACTTCTAACCTTGCATCTGTTTAGAAAACTGTAAGTTGCGATTGCTCTCTGACTGATCATTCGGCTGATTACACATTTTGTTAAATTTGGCATCTACGAACAGGATTGGCCATGTCAGACAATAGAATGCAAGTGCACCAATAGCAGCAATAGTGGCATTAGAAAAATTATGCAATTGCTGATTCTTTGTTTGATTAGACTGACTTTACTCTGTAATTCCTCCAATGCCGCTCTATGGATGCAGTAGGTTTAAAGAGCACACCGAATACTTTGGTTAACTTCTTTAATAACTTCAATCTTCTTCATATAACTGCTTACAATGGCTTGTTTCATTTATCATACAGTAGCTTATTTCTTTCATATTACAATGGTTTAATTCGTATTACATTGGGTTGATTCAATAGCTTATCTCGATAGGTTCAATAGCTTATGTTCTTAGATTAATTCAGTAGATTGATAAATTCGATAGGTTCGATTATGATTACTCTACAGTGACTTGATTCGTAAGTTCGGTGGAACTAAAGTAAACACATACAACATTTCTAGACACAGATTACCTGCACTGTTAAACAATAGAGGAACACACAAGTGCATTAAATACCTATTTGGCCTGCTCTGCTTCCATAAAGCTTTTCTGATTGGAACTGTCTGTTTCCTCTTCTGTCTGGTGAGCATGTGTCTCTAGAAAATCCTAGCAGGGAGTTTTACACAGGCATAAATGTGAAACTGGCTGGGATTGGTTAAGGCTCTGTACAGTGTGAGGCTGTCTGTGATTGGCTCATCTTTAACTAACTCTTAAAGGCATATTTTCCTTTTCTGCTTCTGCTAACACAATGAATATATAAATGTCATATAACAATCAAAGACATAAGTCACAGCAATGATTTTGCTTTTAGCTTTAACATATGCACATATACACTGTACTGAGGTTATTGGCAGGTTTGGTATACACATATATGTGAACCATATTAGCAACCTAGGACTGGTCTTAGCTGGCCAGCTACACTCCCACCAAAAATACCTATAATTCTATGTTCTCAGTAATAGGATTCGAACATGAATTTGAGGAATTTTCCATCAGTTTCTCAACTCTCAAGTGTCTTTGTTACTCTCAAGCAGAACAACTAACTTTTGTATTGGACGTTCCAACTTGAGTGGAGTTGTGAGACGTTTTCCCTTTTTGTCCAGTTTTGAGTCTCCCATTTGTAACAAAACTCTTCTTACTAGTCCTTCTTCGTCCTTTAGAGCTTCTAGGACTTTGGCCAATTTCCATTGACTTCTAGGTAAGTCATCTTCCTTTACTAACACTATGTCATCAACATGAACATTTCTTCTAGGCGTTTGCCATTTACTTCTTAGTATGACATGAGCTAAGTACTCCTTGCTCCATCTATTCCAAAACTGCTCTGATAGATATTGAACTCTTCGCCATCTTTTCCTTGCGTATAAATCCTCTTTGGTGAAGTTGCCAGGTGGTGGCTGTATGTAATCAGACTTAAGGTGAAGTAGATGGTTGGCAGTTAGAGGTTCCAAACTTGTTGGGGTCGTTGATGTTGTTGACTGTAAGTGGACGACTATTAACAATAGACATGACTTCATAGAATAGTGTCCTAAGTGAAGCATCATCTAATCTTCCAGCGCTCTTTTTCAAAACTGAACTTAGTACGTTTCTTACAGTTCTGATTTGCCTCTCCCCAGACTCCGCCTGTATGGCTTGCATGTGGAGCATTCATGTGAAAATCACACTGTTTCTCTCTAACAAGTACTCAGTTACTTTTTCTTTATCAATCTCTTTTAGAGCCTTGTTCAATTTCGTTCTTTGCTCCAACAAAATTAGATCCTTGGTCAGATCTAAGTTTCTCTGACAGTACATCTAATGGCTATGAAACATCTTAAGGCATTGATAAAGGCGTCGGTTGACATATCTTCCAACATTTCCAGGTGAATTGCTCTGGAGCTTAGACACGTAAATATCAGTCCGTATCTCTTGTACTCCTTGCGGTTTTGTTTGGTGATAAATGGGCCCGAAGCTATCCATTCCGCTATAAAGAAATGGTGGTGATGGTTTACACGATCAGCTGGTAGATCAGCCATTCTTTGTTCTTCTGTAGGTCTACATGTCTTCCTACAGATTACACATTTGCTTATGTACTTCGCTATAACTTTGCTTCCTTTCACTATCCAGTAACCACCTTCTCTCAAACAGCTTTGAGTAAAGCTTCTTCCTTGATGCAAGGATTTTGTTGTGGTAATGATTGATAACACTGTAGTTCAACAAATTTTTATTTTTTGCCAGTTTTGGAAACAAAAGGATCCATTTCTTAATGAATTTCACATTCTGAATTCAAATATAACAATGAAATTTGTCAATTGGCTCTAGTTTTTCTGTAAACGGAAAGTTTTCTACTATAGGCGTAATGACTACATAATGCACAATAATTATATAGATAGATGTCTTTCCACAAATATAAGCAAGTGATATTGACTACATAACAAAGCCTAAATGGCATAATATATTGCATAGGATTACCAAGAAAAATTATAGCCATAAGCTAAGTTGAATCATTTTAATACTTAGGATTCTCACTAGTTTTGTCTTCAGTTTGTGTCGGTTTTGCTTCTCTTGGCTTTTCTCTTGTATTCGAGGAAAGGGGCTAT